AAAAGGTGAAATTTAAGAGGGATATATTTAAAGACACTTTAGAGTTTAAAAAAAGAAGATATAGTTACACATAAACTTAATTTAAATATAAAAGCTCTGTTAATTGACCATAACCTCAGAGTGAGCTAACCTAGAGACACTACAGCTAAAAAGTTAAATGCAGTTTTAGGTCGGATAGAAGTACAGTGTTCAGATCGAGGAGGCTGTTTAATTTTCACTGCTTGGTTTGTTGGTTAAACATTCAGGAACCTTATGTCCAGTTCCTGCTTTTTATTGCTAAGTGGACATCTGCCAAGCATGCTATTAGCAGGGTGACCGCTGATGGGCCCTGTGACTCTCAGGTCTATCATTTTATAATCTTTCAGATATTCCACTCACCCTTCAGCCCCTGACTCTGGATGCTAAGTGGACATCTGCCAAGCATGCTATTAGCAGGGTGACCGCTGATGGCCCTCTGACTCTCAGGTCTATCGTTTTATAATCTTTCTGATATTCGCTCACCCTTCAGCCCCTGACTTTGCTATCTTTATCTGTGTGTGTTGGCTTGAAGAGAGCATTCTTGCTCATTATAGATTTGGACAAGGTGTATGATAAATATTAAAGCAATGAGTTGGATTTTTTTTTAAATATGATTAATTTGCTAGCTGATGGTAGTTCTCAATATGGCTAATTTGCTAGCTGAAGGTAGTTAGTTTCCAATATCTTGAGCAGTGGTCATACCTTTCAGGTCAGTGCATAGCATCTCAAAAGAATTTCTTTAAGTTTAAAAATTTGTTTAAAAATACCTCACCACTTTATTATCCTACTTCCTATGTCACGGTCTCAGTACTCTGGGGTTGCCCCACCCCCCCCCCCTCCCCTTAAAAAAAAAAAATCTTAGTTCCTTTTCATTCTCCATTACTACTGTACTGTCTTTTCTGTAAGTACCTAGACAAGAAATAAACAACAGCCAGGTCAGCAAGCAAAACTGCCAATTGCAGATACAATTGATGTGTGTATATTTATAACAGAAGGAATTTGCAAGGAGAATCAGACGTGGGCAGCAGATGATCACTGTGATAATATATAGTGCTGTGTGTTGTCAGATTTATTCCTGTGATTCGATCCATGTCAAACCTCAGGCTTGTGTGCCAGCGTTACTGGTAGGAATCGATAGGCCTAGCGACCTAGTCTTTGCATCGCAGGTGTTGGTGGGTTGTTTTAAATCTTACGTGAGGCCAAAGACCTCCCATGTCTGTTTTGGTGGCAGAGGAGCAGTATTGCAGGGGTTTTTTAGCTTGGTTTTTAGAGATTGGCTTCCTTTTTGTCCTTAGGAACCCGAGAGGAGGAGCGGCGGATACTGGAAAAGGCCGGCTACTTTCAGAGCATCACCGTCGGCGTGGCTCCCATCGTGATGGTGATCGCCAGCGTGGTAACCTTCTCTGTTCACCTGACTCTTGGCTTCGATCTCACAGCAGCTCAGGTCAGTGAGCCCTCGGGGCTTGGGGAAATTTAGAAGTACCGCACACAGAGCTGCTCTGATCCTCTTGTTTCTGGATTTGGGAGTTCCCCCAATAATCAGAAGGCATTTTTTTCATTTGTGTGATTAAACCGAGAAGTGGAAGAGTGAAGATTCAGCCGTAATACACAAAGAGTGGATGGGCTGTGTTTAGTCAACTCAACCTTGGGTTTAATTCTGAAAATACAGATCACTCTGTGGTTCAGATTTACTGAGAATTCTAATTGAAGGTCTCATAAAAACTCTACCTTTAAGAAAGGTGTCTGTCTCATACCAGCATTTGACAGTCAGGCTGCAGCCTTGCTTAACTTGAAGGGAAATTGATGGTGTCTTGTGTTTGGGTTGCATGAAGGAAAATTGATTGTGTCTTGTGATTTTGGTGGCATAGCCTAGTAAGGCTCAGTTTCTGCTCTTTTCCTCTTTTCAGGCTTTCACAGTGGTGACTGTCTTCAATTCCATGACTTTTGCTTTGAAAGTAACTCCGTTCTCAGTAAAATCCCTCTCAGAAGCATCGGTTGCTGTCGACAGGTTTAAGGTAAGTGGCTCCCTCTCCTCCTTCGCGTCAGGAGCCATCCCTGGCAAAACTAATTACCTTTATTCCAGTGGGTCATACAGGCTCACTGCCCTTTGGCTTTTGTTCACCTTCAGCCTTTTGCCAAGTTGGTAAGAAAGGGGCCATGGGGTGGCGGGGCTGGGGGGTGCGCGGGGAGAAAGGAGCCAGTGGAGAAGGCTGACTTACAGGGTAGAACTAGTTACCGTAGTTACCGTTTCAGATAAATGACTTTGTACCTTGTGTAGGGTTCCCACCTAGGTTTGGGTTCCCAGGATTTCAGAGCTTCTCTTCAGAGTTAGTCCCTTCTGCCTGGACCTGACGTGGATATAAGTCATAACTTACTGGGCCTTTCAGTGATTCAAACCTAGAGGACCAGAGCTGTCAGGAGACTCAGCTTTTTCTTACCTTGACCTACCATTTACCTCTACCAAAGTGCTTCATTTTGATTGGTCAGTATGCTAAGTCCTTTTTAAAATATATATATATAGTTGATTTGGGAGAGGGGGAGAGAGAGAGAGAAACATCAATGATGAGAGAGAATCATTGATTGGCTGCCTCGTGCATGCCCCCTACTGGGGATCGAGCCAGCAACCCAGGCATGTGCCCTTGACCAGAATTGAACCCGGGACCCTTTGGTCTGCGGGCCGATGCTCTATCCACTGAACTAAACCAGCTAGGGCATGCTAAGCCCTTTTTGATACTTTCCTGTTTCTTGCCTGTGGTTGCCACTCATGATGCAAGGACTCCAGTGACATGAGAGTCATAAAAGTAGATCATGTTGAGAAATGCAGAAGTACCAGGGTTTTTCTGGTTCGTTGCTCATGCCTTGACATTTTTTGTGTGCCTCCAGAATAATGCAAGAGGGAGGTATATTGGGGAGGGTGGGGGGAGATAGATGTTTGAAAGTGGGTAATATTTTAAAAAAGGGGAAAGGAACAGCACTGGTATGGGTGGGGA